CCATCTTCTATCCGCCTCCCCCTCTCTCCCTATTTATTTCAGAATCCTCTTCCCCTCCAACATTTCTGAAGAAGGGTCTAGTCCTGAAATGTCAGCTTTCCTGCTCCTCTGATGCTGCTTGGCCTCCTGTGCTCATCCAGCTCTACACCTTGTTATCTCAGATTCTCCAGCATCTGCAGTTCCTACTACCCATGTTGTTAAGCTTGGATTTTGGAATAGTGAACAAGCAGTAGATATTCTGGCAAATTCTTCCTTTCTCTTTTCCACACACCGCTCGTACCTCCCATCTCACAACCCCCTTCGCCAATGAAGGTGGGAAGTGCAATCATATCACCATGCTCATTTCTATAGCTGAGATGAACCAACTTAACCATTACATGGCTCCTTAGAAAAATAGCCAAATAAAGTTGTCTGTTAAATGAATAGCTGATAAATTATATAACTTTGAAGAGCAGCCTATAATTGTGTTTTATGGCAGTTTAATGAATGAGAGAAACTCCAGTTTGCTATGTGAACTTCATAGATGTTGATCAATTCTATAGGGTTTTAGATTTTACAATATGGTTGCTTTTTCCACGAAAACCCGTGACCCAAAGGAAGGATTTGGTAAACTATTTAATTGCTGGCAGTGTTTGTGGACATCCACAAGTACGCATGTGTTGAAGCGGAGACACGCGTGTGTGCTAATGCGGAGACACGCATGTGTACTGTTCCAGACACTACCTGACCATGTTGAATCTGTGTGCACTGCGCATGTGCATTAAAGCACACACACACTTTTGAAGGGAGTTTCAGTGGCGGAGAGTCAGGACATGGGAGGAGGGAATCAGGGAGGAGTGAGGGGCAAAAGAATTGAGGAGATGGGTAGTGAGGGCGTTAGAGTCCGCTCTCCGACTCATCTGCTCCTCTCCTCCTCCTCTTCTATCCCTCTTTCACTTCTCTTGAGTTGTGATCCAAATCCCCCTTCCAGTCCCAATCTTTCCTAAGTTCTAACGCCCCTCTCCCATTCTAATGTTCATAATACTCCAGCCATGGGAAAACGAACATCTTGTATAGCTTTAGCAAGAAGAACATTTCTTTTGCTTGCTGCTGTAAAGGAAGGTGTGACATTTTGTAAGGTGTTAACAAATCCTATTGTGTACATTTATGGGCTGTCAATGTGCAGAAACTGTTCAGACATATTAGCACTGAACTGACATCAATGGCAGTTTATTCCTTCCCTCCCTCCCCAGTAAATAAAATGTTTTCTCTGAACAGTAAACCACTGTCTCTCAAGTTTGTTTTAAATGATTGTTTTTTTTTTTTAACCCAGCATGACTTCAAACTGGAATAAGAAGCCAGAATGTATCCAGAGCAAAATTACAAGCTGTGATGTGACCAACCTGATGCAGAACGTAACAGAGACCTACATTGCTGAGGTGGAGACCCACGGTGCAGAACACACAGGAGAAGTCGAAGAACCATCTTTTGTCCAGTCTAGCCCCTTCCAGCCCTTAAAGCAAAGTAAGTGTCACCAGTATTTCCACACCACGGGGCAGCCTGTATTATAGAGTTTACAGCAGTTAGTATAACTTGTCCTTTTGTAGTGATTTGAAAATAGTAAAATGTTCCTGGGTGTTTCATAGGAGCTTTATCGGAATGTTTGATCGTGCCATGTAAAAGGAAATTAGGAAAGCTGACCAACAGTTCTTGGTTGAATTCTTGAAGTCATTTTTAAGGCAGGGACATAAAGAGGAAGTGAACGGTAAAGAGTCAAAGAGGAGGGAGTTTCAGACCTTAAGACAAAGGTAGCTGAAGGCATGGCCACCCATGATACAGCAATTCAAATTGAAGATGCATACGAGGCCAGACTTAGTGCATTACAAATATTCTGGGGGGTGGGGCGGTGGGGAAATGCAGTTCTAAATCTTGAGGAGGTTACAGAGTTGGGGAGAAATGAGGCCTAAGGAAGGATTTGAAAAAAGTGTGAGAAAGTTAAAATTGAGATATCGCCAGCTCCGAGAGCATGGAGAAAAGGCAGACGATGCAAGATTTGACCAGCAGAGCTTTGAGTGAGCCATTAGAGGTTGAATGGTGGGAGAGTGTTGGAATCATCTTACCATTAACTGCGACCTGTCATCCATCTTCCTTCCTTCTCACTGAAACAGATTATTGCTGGAAACACACAACAGATGCTTCACGCGCAATAAAGAGAAAGGACCATATTTATGATGAAGGGATGAATCAGAAAAGTCTATTCGCTGTACAGATGCTGATATACCTAACTCCCTTTGCTTCTGTATTTATCATATTCTCTGCCTTACCGGGGCAATACATGGACAATCTGCTTATTCAGCTGTAAAAGAATGTATTACCAAAAATGAAATAATGGAATGAGTCAAGCTTAAGAGTCAGATTAAATGGGCACAAGAAGAGAAAATTAAAAATGAATGCATCATAGAATCGTTCAGTACAGCAGAGGCCCTTTGGCCCATCTAGTCTGTACTGCCAAAAATATATTACTACCTACACTAGTCCCACTTTCCCACACTAGGCCACTAGCCTTGAATGTTATGACGCATCAAGTGCTCATCCAAGTACTGTTAAAGATTGTGAGGTTTCCTGCCTCAACCACCCTCCCTGGCAACTATCCCACCAACCTCCAGGTGAAAACATTTTTCTTCCAATCCCATCTAAACCTCCTGCCTTTCACTTTAAAATTATGCCCCATTGTATTGACCTTTCAACCAAGTGGAGCTGCTTTCTATTCAATCTTTCTATGCCCCTCTTATGCACCTCTATTGGGTATCCCCCTCAAACTTCTGTGCTGTAACAAAAAAACATATAAGCTTATCCAGTCTCCCTTCATTGCCTAGGATGGAGCATTTCAGCATCATCCCGATGAATCTCCTTTGCACCCCACCCTCACCAGTGCAATCACACCTTTCCATGATAGCGTGGTGACCAGAACTGCACACAATACTCCAGCTGTGGCCTGACCAAACTCCTGCACAGCTCCAGCACGACCTCCCTGCACTTATAATCTACAACTGACAAAGGCAAGCATCCTAAAAGCCTCCTTAACTACCCCATTAATCTGTCCTGCACTTTCAAGGAGCTGTGGACAAATACACCAAGATTGTGGGGAGGTGATGAGCCTAGTGGTATTATTGCTAGACTATTAATCCACAAACTCAGCTAATGTTCCTGGAACCCAAGCTTGAATGCCACCACAGCAGATGGTGGTATTTGAATTCAATAAAAAAAGCTGGAATTAAGAATCTGTTGATTTACTGTAAACCATTGCCAAGAGAAACCCATCTGGTTCACTAATGTCCTATAGGGAAGGAAATCTGCCATTCTCACCTGGTCTGGCCTACATGTGACTCCACAGCCACAGCAACTGGTTGACTCTCAACTGTCCTTTGAAATGACCTAGCAAGCCATTTAAGGTCAGCTAGGCACAGGTAATAAATGCTGGCCAGCCAGAGATGCCCACATCCCACGAGTGAATAAAAAAGAAGATTCTTCTGAGCACCATAGTTCTTGCCATTCATTTGAGTATTCCCTTGTCTTGTTCATTCTTCCAAAGTGCATCACTTCACATTTATCAGGGATTACGTTCCATCTGGCACTGATCTGGTCACCTGACCAATCTCCTCTTCTAACCTAACGTCTGCCTCCTCATTGTCAACCCTGCAACCAAGCTTTTTGTCACATAGTCAAAATATAGTCAAAGTGTTCCCCACATTACACCCACTGAACCAGAATTTCCATTTGTAATGATCGTGATAGTGCCTGTTGTAACTGACAGCAATGTCTAGCAATGCACAAGCACAGTCAAATGTAAAATTTAGTACCCTTTACAGGGTAAGTTGCTGCAGTCTTCAGAGATGGTATCGACACAGAATCCATCATTTATATCAGCTTCAACGTTTTACATCCGGTACTGGTACATAAAAAGGTTGAACAAGTTCAGCATTGTCAGGAGAGCTGGCATTTGGTATACCAAGACATAGTTACTGCTGAAAAACGCTGCCCCTGAAGTTATTTTAAGAGGATGGAGTATCATTCTTTCCCCTTCATCATTCCTAAAATTATGACAGTTTTTAAAAATCTTATTTATCGTATTATATTCGTCACCCCAAGTCTCATGTACATCCCTTAATTGTCTTTTTTGCATTTTGTAAACTGCTTGAGTTTAATTATAATATGAGCTTTGTACTTCCTGCTTTGTTGTCTGAAAGAATTCTTCAATTTGATTGGTTGCTCAACTCGCTTGATGCCGTCACCATTACTGAATTCTACTGAGTTCCCATTAATGGCCCCAGATTCAGAGTCAGAATAAGCAAAAAGACTGCTCTAGGTCCAGTTAAATCACTGTGGGCAGGCTGTTTTTGAGGTTAGTGACTAGTGGTGTCCTTTCATTAATAACTGCTTAATGCATGCCAACAAATTTGAGCATTTATATCATGTTGCAGCATAAAAGCAATAGAAGAATATTCTTGCCAGAAATGGTATACATCTGTTTAACATGGTGATGTTTCTTTATATTCTAGCTGACATTGGAGAAGCAAGCTTTCAAATTTATAAAAAGAGTGAAGATGAGATTGAAGTGTTAGTACAAGATCCACTTACAGGCATCAAGTTTTCTAATAAGACTTCAAAAACTCTGCATGATATCTACGGGACAAACCTCACTTATAGGGTGTTTTACTGGAAAGATGGCACAAGTGGCCAGGTTTGTTCAAGCATTGTGACAAATTTTGTTTTTTTTTCTGTTTGAATAATCCTTGTATTCCTGATTAAAAACAGCAATTTTTAAATAACTTTGTTTCTACAGAAAACTCAAATTGGCAACAGTCAAAGAATAATTATTAAGATTGACAAGGGAATCAATTACTGCTTCGTTGTTCAAATCTACATTAAATCACCATTCAAAAATAGCCCAAAATCTCAAAGCAAATGCACAGATCTTAAAACCACAGGTAAGCCCTTACTTATTTGAAACGGTAGTCCTGCTTTATAAGGGACCCCATCCTTCAAGTGCACCCTGCATCTGAGGAAGTGCTATTGTTGATTTGGAAGCAAAATGTTGTAGATGCTGGAACTCAGAAACAGAGCATGAAGTGCTAGAGAAACCCAGGAGGCCTGACAGAATCTGTGGAGAAAGAAGTCATATCGGACTTGAAACATGAACACTATTTCTCTCTGTGCAAATGCTGCCAGACTGCTTTCTTCCGCTCTTCTGCTTTTACTATTGCTGATACTTATCCAGAGAGTTCTTTTCTATTTAGAGAATAATAATCTAAGTAACATTGACCAGGGGATCCTCCGTATCTTGCAAAACTCATTCTCTTTACAGCTCTTCACAATGATGCACTTCAGTAAAGTGTGGAACACCCCTCAGTGAATCTACTGAGCAAGAAATTTTCTGGTATATTACTAAGATATGGAAAGAAATTGGAGAAGTTGTTCATCCAGGGAGGCAGTGGTGTAGAGGTCCTGTCACTCAGCTCATAATCCAGAAAGTCAGGCTAATGTGCTAGCGACGTGGGTTCAAATCCTACTATTGCAACAAAATCTAGATTAAAGCACTAGCCTAATGGTGACTACTGTACATTGCTATTTTGAAAAAGAAGCTCATTTGATTCATAGATGTCCTTGAGAGAAGGAAATTCAAAGATCACAGAATCCCTACAGTGTGGAAACAGGCCCTTTGGCCTAACAAGTGCACACCGACACTTGGACCATCCCACCCAGACTTATAACCCACCTAAGCTACACATCTCTGAACACTACAGGCAATTTAGCCTGGCCAATTCACCTAGCTGGAACATCTTTGGACTGTGGGAGTAAACTGGAGCACCTGGAGGAAACCCACACAGACACGGGGAGAATGTGCAAACTCCACACAGACAGTCGCCTGAGGGTAGAATTGAACCTAGGTCCCTGGTGCTCTGAGGCAGCAGTGCTAACCATTGAGCCACCGGGAAATCTGCCATCCTTACCTGGTCTGGCCTCCATGTGAGTCCACAGCAGTATGGTTAATAATAAATGCCTTCTGGGATGGCAATAAATATTGGCCAGACCAGCAATGTCCACATTTCATGAACAAATTAAAATAAACAGGGACATTTCTGCAACAGAAAAAAATAAGCAGGAATGTGATAGAGGTTTTAAAATCTTGGACCATTTTGAGAGAGTAAGTAGGGAGAAACTGTTCCCAGTAGCTGAATAGTCGGTAATCAGAGCTCTCAGATTTAAAGTACTTGGCAAAGGAATCAAAAGTATCATGAAGAAAGAATTTTTTTTTTTAACGTAGTGAGTTATAGAGAACTGTCTGACAGAGCCACAGAAGCAGGTTCAACGGCAAAATTCGAAAGTGAGTCAGATAAATATTAATGGAGGAAAGAAAGATTACAAAGTTTGGCTGAGGAAGAGAAGGAGTTTGGAATTAGATTGCTACATCAAAGAGCCAGAATAGGCCAAAAGGTTTCTTCCTGTGCTGTATCATTCTATAAACAGAAGGTCATACCAGTCTCATAGATTTTATAGTGGTGCAGATTGACATATCTGCCAAATACAGACAAAAACCAGAAACTATTCATAATTCTATTGAGGGTTAGTTGTGAACTTGTTTAAAACTGGCATGTGTTTATCGTCATCTGCAGCATTAGAGGTGCTGTGCATATTAAGAGGTTGAGATGGATAGAATTGTACCATCCACAACAGAGTCATCAGTTCAATTGCTGCCAAATTCAGCCCCGTTGTAGTTCCCTTGATTAACAGTTCACTAAATCTTGGTGACATTGCCAAACAGTAGTTCAATAATAAATCATTTTTGTTATTAGCTTAAAAGTACAACCAAAACACAGAAGGAGCTATTTGGCTCAGTGTATCTTTTCCACCTCTTTGGTAGTGCTACCCAATTAACCTCAATGGCCTGCTCTTGCCCCAGGGTCGTATATTTTTCATTCCCTTCAAGCTTTTGTCGAATTCTTCATTTAATGTGCCAACAAAGTCTACTTCAACAACCATGACTGGCAGTGCACTCTAGAAAACAATAAGTGGAAGATAGCATTCATGCCACACAACTGCCAGGCAATGACTATCTCCGACAAGACAGAATCTAACAATCACCCCTTGCCATTCAGTAGTGCTACCATCGCTGAATCCTGCCTCTATCAACATCCTTGGAGAATACCACTGAGCAAAAACAGAACTGGGGCAGCCATATAAATATTGTGACCTACTCTCAAAACCAAAGACTGAATTCTGCAGAGAAACTTTTACCTCCTGGCTTCCCAAAGCCTGTCCACCACCTGCAAGGCACCAGTCAGGAGTGTGATGGAATACTCCCCACTTGCCTGGATGAGTGCAGCCCCAACAACACTCAAGAGGCTGAAAGCAGCCCGCTTTATTGGCACCCATCTGCTACTTCCCACATTCACTCACTCCCTTCACTACTGCTGCAGCATCACAACCGGGTGTACCAGCCACAAGGTGCACTGCGGTAATTCTCCAAGGCTCTAATGACAGCACCTACCATATCCTCAACCTCTGCCACCTAGAAGGACAAGAGCAGCTGATAGAATATTCATTCCACCAGTACACAAATTTAATCGCCTAATTTATGCAATAAAAACCATAAGCTTTGGCAGCATGCAACAAGTGCAGCAACATCAGAAGAGAAAGGCAGCTTAATGTTGTTGGTGGACAATCTGCATTAGAACAAATCCAACTTTACTGTCTGAAATGTTAACTTCCTGTGCCCTCTGAGTTTCCCATGTATTTCTAGCAGTTTGTAATAATATTTGATTTGTGATGTATACAGTTTCAGTCTTTTCCTAATCATATTTTTCTCCTTTCACCCCTTTTTAGAGTTTGGCTATGGCTTCTATGCCATAATAATAGTAGGAGCACTAGTGGTCATCAGCATTATCATTGGGGTGACGGTGTGTTTGTGCAGACGTAAAACTGTTCACAACAATGTGGAGACAAACCCTCTGAAGGCGGTGTCTGCATAATTCGAAAGCAATGTGTCTTGAGTGACTGGTCCCATCGCCAGCTGCTGGTTGGATTTTTGTAAGAATTTCTTCACTGACAATAGGAAGCGAACGACTCCTGTAGCACGTGTACCTCACAAGCATAACTGACCGTTCACAGAAGTACGGTGAAAAGAAACATTTTGTTTCTATGAAACATTTATTTATCACCATATCAAGCAAGCAGGGAACTTTATTTCAGAGATAGTAGGAACTGCAGATGCTGGAGAATCCGAGACAACAAGGTGCAGGGCTGGATGAACACAGCAGGCCAAGCAGCATCACAGGAGCAGAGAGGCCGACGCCTCGGGCCTAGACCCTTCATCAGAAAAGGGGGAGGGGAAGGG